TTATTACAGGTGAGGTGGGGATGGGCCAGGAGGGTGGGGCCAGCTGGCTGAGCCCAGGCTTCCCCACTACCCCACCTGTGGACCGCTGACCCAGCCTAATGGCCGCCCCTCCTGGCTGTGCCCTTGGCGCTCCTCCCACATCAGCAGGCCCAGACTCCTCTGCCTTGGCTCTGCTGGGCCCTGGCCTCTTGGCCATAGCGGGGATTCCCATGGAGCCATCTTGATGGGAGGGAGACCAGGGGAGGAGGCCACCTGGGGCACCTGCATCCTCGAGCTGCACGCCTGGTCCCGCCCGCCAGGCCTGATGCTGACCACTCTTTCTTGTTTCTTTTCTTTCCAGTCGACTGAAGAAAGAAGGTGACAAGCAGTTATAAGTTATTTATTTGTTAACGCTGGCTGTGGAAACCCCAGTTCTTGGGGGGAGAAACAGGACTTTTTACATACGTAGGAGCTGCAAAAGCAAAAAGAAAATCTTCTAAAGATTTCTTTACATATTTAAAAACCCCACAACTAAAAATGTATCAGCTTAATAGTGTTCGTTTGTAGAGAGGATTCCTTGAGACTGGTTTGGGTGTCCCTGCATGACAGTCCCCCAGAAACTTAGTGCGTCCTGGACTGGACTGAACACTCAGAAAACTCCCCTGCAATCTTGGGGTTTGATTGTTTTCTTTTCCTTCCTTGATTTCTCAGTAGGTGCTAGAATCCAGTTCACACCCTTCACTGTGCGTGCAGACACACTCAGTTACATGTGTTCCAAAACCCACAAGGTTTGCAGACAGGCGGCATATGAGTTTGGAATCCAAGAGCTATAATTTTAAAAAAATCTTTTATTTTAATACATTGTAGGAAATCTTCATAATTTGAGAAAGTTCTGCAGCATGGCTTTTTACGTCTGTAAATAAATAATTTTAGAACAGCCTTTTTTTCCTTCCACAAACTACTATTCTGATCTATTTTTTCCAGCCATGTCGCTAATTCCTACCAGCTATTGACAGAATACAGAGTTGATTTTTTAATAAAAAGTTATATATAATTATCCCTTTAATTAAAGGGAACAGATGGGCGTTTCTAATTACAAGTGGGCAAAAGCTTGGGACTAGGTTTGGTCGCAGCAGTGAGCAGCCGGGTTTGCAGGGACAGTGTTACAAACTGTTTCCTTTGTTTTGCTGCTTTGATTTTCACCTCTGTCTCTTCCTGGCTTGTGCTTGGCCAGTGGTGCAGACGTCTGTTAGAGCGAACCACTTTCATTTTGCACCAGGAGCGCAGGAATTAAATGTCCACCCTTGTTCTGTCTCTGCAGGATAGAAAGCACGTTTCTGTGTGTCTGATTGTAGATTTCCTTGTAGATTTCTATGCACACACATTTGATTGTTCTGGATGAACTGCCTTTTTTAATACTCGGACAATTTCATAAACATTCTAGAAAATTCAGGAAAATGATTCCCCACAAATAGCACATATGCTTGCCAAAGGAATCTGTTAGAAATCTGCCCTTCTGTGTGTGTTGTCATTTGGATCTTCTTGTGGTGAGGCCAGGCCATCCTTGCCACAGCTGAGGCTGCTTTTGAATGAGGGAGACCCCAGAGTTGGCACAGTTTTGGGCAGTAGCCTGTGTGTCTCCCCCAGGAGCAGGTCCATGCATGGTGACCCACATCGGACTGGGAAACCATGTGAGCCCCACTCTTAATCCTGGAAGTAGGAACAAGAGTTGCAGCCACAAATGTGGAGTGGGAAGGCAGGCTTCCATCTGGGAGATGCCACTCTGTAGGGGTCAGGCTGTCGCAGAGAGCCCGCCTCTGCTTTCTAAGTCGCTGACATGATGCACTTTCTCCAAAGCAGAGTGGGGAAATTCTGGGGATGTCTGCACCCATTGATCAGGCTTTCTGCCAGGATGTGAGCTGTTCCGTTCCTCTTCTCTCAGACGCTTGAGGGCTGTTTCTGCTGTGGTATATGGTGGTCGTATCCAGGAATTATCAGATGACGAGAGAAGGAAGGCCCTATGGGTCAGTGGACATGAAGTGCATCCTGAGCTGCATAGGGGGTAGGAGGAGAGACTGGCGCTTTGACCCAGAGACCGACAGGTATTAGCTCAGATTCAGGTTCCGGATTCACACCTGCATCAGAGGCATTTCCAGTTTCTATTAAAACCATGTTTGGTTTCAGTTCGGCCAGATAGAGGATTATTTCGTCTGTTGACAATGTTTATAGTTTTTCTCTTTCGTTTTCTCTCATTCTGTTTCTGCCTTAACTTTAGTTCCTTAGAGGGGAGGCAGGCTCAGATGAACCTCTTGTCATCAGACTTGTGGCTGCGTTGGCAGGAGGCATTTGTTTCCTCTGGGGGTGGTGATGTGCCGTGGGGGGCAGGGGGGCTTGCTCTCCTGTGGGGCGCTCTGCAGTTCTGAGAGGCCTCTTCACGCTGCAGCTTCTGCTGCCCTCAGGCTCCTGCGCTGATGCCCCACCTCCTCCCATCTTTTCGTTCCTTTTGGTAGAGCACAATGCCTACCATTCAGTTAAACCTTCTTGATCTCCTCTCTCCATCATCCATTTTTCCAAAGAAGAGAGAGAGTGAAGTACTTCCAAGTCTGTACTTGAAAGCTGTCTGAAGGTGTTTTCTTGTTTGATTTTGGTTTTCTCCCCATATCCCAAGGTGAAGCACTGAGATTCTTTCATTTAAAAACCCACAACCTGAAACCCTCACCTGGTCAACTACAGTTGGTTCAGAGGCCCCAGACCTTCACAGTGTCTTTGAAGCCCGACCCCTTGGTTTCCTTTTGGATTTTCCTTCCTTTTGTTTGAAGTTTGGTTTTGCTTTTCTGTGTTTTGTATGTATCTTGTTCAATGTTGTCAAGATTGAGCTTCACATTTCACTGCAGCAGCAGCAGAGCAGAGTGTACATTCTGATTTGCTACGTTTATATATATCTTGAAGCTAAATGTATATATGAGTAGTTTGCCATGAGATAACACAGTGTAAACAGTAGACACCCAGAAATCGTGACTTCTGTGTTCTCTCCATTTGAGTATTTTGTAATTTTTTTGAAATATTTGTGGACATAAATAAAACCAAGCTACACTACAACAGCTGGGTGTGGACCAGTGGACTGTGTCTCATTCCTGGGAGTGGGTGGGGATATTGGTGGTTGCCCCTACCAAGGTCCCCAGGGTGGGGAATGGGCGGAGGGAGAGTCTGATTCTCAGATGTTGCTGGCACACTGCTTACCTCCCAAAGCAGCTTCCAGAAAGATCCCTGTCTGTGTTGCCTGGGAGGAAGAGTTTCTCTGGTGAGTACTCTTGCTCTCGAGGGATGCTGCAACCTACTGATTGGAGAAAGTCAGGGCCTGCAGTGGGCTCCCCAAGCAGCAGAATGGATCTTAGGAGGGTGATGGCATTGGGACCAAGAACACCCTCTCCACTCCCCATATCCCTTTCTCCCCCTGCCATTCACCCTACCCCTCTGATTTGTGGGACCATGGGCATGTGGCTCCTCCTCTGTTTAAGAGAGGTCTGAGCCACCCACCAGTACAATGGCCTCCTATTTCTGGCTACTCCTCCCACCTTGTTCCCTCGGCACTTCTCCCTGAGCGTGCCAGTGCCCCCACCCCAGCCTCAGCTAGGGTTGCCCTCCACGTTGAGGATGCATCCTAGCCCCCTGTGGGGGGAGTCTTAGCCACTGACCATGCAGCAGGTGGTCTGTAGGGTATGGGTGTGGCCATTAGGGGGCAGCAGTCATCAGGAGGATTCAGGCTCTGGTTTCAGAGACTGTCAAGGGCATTTTCCTGAAGCTTCAAGACTGTCCCTGGAAGTATATATGCTCACCCTTTTGTCTGGGATATGGCCATGAATTTCTAGATGTTTTGGGAGATAGAGCAAGAGCAACCCAGAGCACTTACTATTGATCAACTTCCCTCAAAGCAGGCAGGGCAGGCCTCGTGGTGAAGGCTTGGAGAACAGCGTGTGTCGGGCACTACTAATTTAGGGCATGGGAAAGCTTTACCACTTGGGCCCAAGTGGCACACACATCAATGGCCCTAGAGACAGTCTGTGTCCTCCAACAGCAGGAGTACTGCTTGGCAACTTGGGTCGGTTGGGGCAACGAGTGAGGGGCCTGTAGACTAACTGTGGGAGGCACGTGCTGCTATCATCTGGGTCGTGGATGAGAAGGTGGGATGGGAGCAGCTGGGGGTGTGGAGGGAAGGCCCAGCAGCTGGAATCCAGGTGCCATCTTTGCTGGTCTCACAGCTAAACCGTGCTCTTAATGAAACTGCAGTTTTTAGGAGGCATCAATTTATGAATTACAAATTTCAAGAAGGTTAAAGGGTATGACGTAAGTGTCTGTGAATGGATACGTAGAATTATGCTGCAGAAAAGGCCCCCATCAGAGCTGCGCAGGTTGTAATAGTTTCTCAGGCATGGCCGACTGTGGCCATTGTCCCCAGCTTGCTGTGCACGCACTCAGGCAGAGCGCCTGCCATAACGAACTGCTGCTGGATTTGTGAGGAGATAAAGGTCTGGTGTCAGGCAGCTGTGCCCTTGGCCAGGCCCTCGCCTCTGCTGGTACCCAGATGAAAGCACTGGGGTGCTCCTTGGCCCCTGTGAATGGACCCTCAGCTTGGGCATGGTGACTCAGCAGCCCTCAGGTTCCGCTGCAGTGTGGGCTAAGAAAATGGCACTTTGCAGGGCTGGGTGCGTGGGCGCCATATTGATAAACGTCCATGGTAAGCTCCGGTGAATGAGGACCTCGCTTAGGCACCTCCTGGGTAAATCGAGGTCACTTATCCACAGGGTAAGAATGCGCAGGAGAGAAAACAGCAGTGACCTCCCACGTAGACATGGAGTTGCAAGACCCTCGAATACCAGGACCACAGAGCTGTGCAGTTGTGGATGCAAACAGCTGACGTGTGAGGGGCAGGGCTGGAGCGCTTCTGCATGGAAGCTCAAGGAGACAGTCGGGGACACCCTCACCCGAGCCAGGAGCCCCTTGCCAGTCTCATGCCTTAACACCATACCCTCTGACCACACGGTGAGACCTGAACTGAGCCCTCTCTGGATTCTTGGAGCTCCTGTCGGAAGGCAGGGCCTGGCGAGCGTTGGGTCACGGGAGCTGCAGTTTGAATTGTGGACGGAGCATGCAGTCCAGGAGCAGTGCGGGCCTTACCCTGGGACTCTCCTGCCCTCACTGGGTACTCTGTTCTGCATTTTTGGCCCTTGGAGGTCTCAGTATCTGAGGTGTCTTTTTCCCTGGGCCCTTGCTGGGTTCCCAGCTGCCCCGAGGAGCTCTGGCAGTTCAAGTGCTGGGTCCTGATTCTCTGCTCCTACCCAAGGTGGCTTCTCTAGTAGCTGTGTTTGCCAGGAACAGCTTCAAGTTTTGTGCCATTGTTTCCTTTTGGCATATCAGGGACCCAGGCTGCATAAGCTGCCCCTGCATCCCCCCCAACCCAGCTGTGTGCCTGCATCGGCACTCCTGCTCCCCCTACTCTGGACACCTCACTACTGGACCACGTTCTAGTGTGTGGAAGGTAACTCGCTCCGTAAATATTTGCTGAATGAATGAACAGGCCCCGCAGAGGAAGACTCTTTGGTGCAGTGTCCAAATGTGCTGTTGAGTCATAGGCATGGATGACCAGATGGAAGGACCTTTAGCCCCATCGAGGGAGCTGGACCCCCTGCTGTGCTGCCTGAAGTGACCCTTCTCTCTCTCAAGTTTCTCTTAATCCTGCCTCCCCTGACTAGCTGTGCCTGCTCTGGGACCCTCCAGCACTCGGGCTCCAGTCCTGGTTTACACCCCTCTTCTGTGGGGAGGGGTATCTGCTTTACAACAGTGGCTTCTGGTGAACCCCTGCAGGGACACCCAGTGTGGTGAATTAGATTAAAGACAATCCTGTGTCACTTAACGGGGGGTATGTTCTGAGAAATGTGTCGTTCGGTGATTTCATTGTCATGCGAACATTCAGGCTAGATGGTTATAGCCCACTACACACCTAGGCTGCGTGGTACTGATCTTATGGGACCTCCGTCGTGAATGCGATCCGTCGTTGACCGAAACGTCGTTATGCGGCGCACAACTGTAGAACTTTAAGGCACTTCGTAGAAGACCCTTTTGGCCCAGGGAGGAGTCCTGAGGTCGACGAGCTGTTTAAGGGCCAGTGTCTTCTATGTGCCTGGCCACTGATTGTCACTCCCAGGTCCCCTCCATTCCCCTTTTTCATTGCCCAGCCTCTGCTGCAAGTCATGCCTTGGAACAGATGTGCAACTCAGTCCTCACTGCCACTCCCAGTCCTGGCCACCAGATGGCAGTGTCTGTAACAGCCAGGCCCTGTCCCTCTGGGGCCACCAGACCCGGGCAACATCTGCGGCTTAGGCTGCCAGGAGGAGACAAGGTCCCCTGTGGGTCAGAGATGAAGGGGCGGGGTGTTCTGGCAAAGGGCAACTGGGACAGGTCACAGCAGGAGCAGGGGCGAGAGATGGCAGGGAAGAGGGGGCCGGGAGGCTGCTGGGGGCGGGGCAGGCTGTACGTTATGGCGAGAGAAGACTGTCTTCAGAGGGGCTGCTTCTCTTTGTTCATGGCTGTATCCCCAGTGGGACATACACACTAGGCCCTCAGTAAACCTTCACTGAGTGGAAGAGGACCCCAGAAGGCATCCTCAGCAGCAGATGATTCCAAGCACGATGGCCCAAGTAACCCCCCGAAAAGTCCCCCTGAGCTGCTGTTGCCCTGAGGGCCCCGTGTGCCCGCATGTGCCCCCAGCTCAGGACATCTGCCCCTCCTCCAAGTCTTCCCTCAAGAGGGTTCTCAGGTGTCCTCTGACCTGCTCACAGCCAGGATGAGGGCACAGCACACACCATGTGGACCCTGCAAACACGCTCTGACAGCAGGGAGAAGCCAGGGCACCTTACTGCTCGGAAGCCCTGGCAGCTGTTGGTTCTGGCATATTCCAGGGAAGCCACTTCCATTCTCTTGAAATGTGGCCCAGTGTGATGGATGTCGGGACGCCACCTCGCCCAGTCCCCATATCCCAGCCCATGGTTAGTCCTACAGCCTGGGAAGATAGAAACCAGACCCACAAAGGCTGTGGTTTCGTGACCAGTTCCCTCGGCCCGACGTTCAGTGTCTGTTCTGAACGCTGTGGACTGCTCGCGGAGGCAGTGGTCGTGTTCATTCCCAAGAGCATCAAGGAACGAGAGTTGATTTTCAAGTTTGCTGAGGGGAACGTCAGGAGTGGCTTCAAAATCTATGGCGTGGTCTTTGTTTTTAGTGATCTGAGAGGGCAAGTCTCATCATGGGACCACAGCTCAGGGCTTTCTCTCCCTTTCCTCTTTCCTCGGAATGGGACAAGGAGCTCCCTCCACATGACTCCCCGGGAGTGAGCCCAAGCAGCCCGTGGCGAGGGGGGACCATGGTCAGGCCATGGAAGGAGCTCATTTGCTCCAAAGATGTTAAGCAGTGTGAGGTCTGGAGTCAGATTTCCCTTGTACAGGCGTGGGACCCTGTGTGACCTGGGCCAGGCCCTTGTGCTTGTCTCAGGGCCCACGGCTGCCAGATGGGGTAATGACAGCTCCTTCCCAGTGGGGTGAGGAGAGATGTGCAGAAAGCCCTTAGCTCACGTTGTAGGACTTCATGAACTGCAAGCAGTAGCCAGTATCATCACCATCAAGAGAATGATTCTCTGAGATGAGGAAATCACGCGGGTGTGGCTCTCAGTGAGTCCTGGGCTTCCGGGTTGGCATCCTTCGGGTGCTCCCACTGCCCTCTGCTGGGAACAGGCCTGAAGGTCAAGGGCAACTTTCTGGAGCTGGCCAAGGGCGGCCGATGCTCTGCTCAGCCCACTGGCCCAGACAGCGCCTGGCTCAGAGCAGAATTTTAGGAGAGGTTGATGACAACCATTCCCAGGTGTAAAAATGGTCTTTGTTTACTTAGAAAGTTCTAGGAAGAGGGCCCAGGGTTTGACAAGCCAAGCGTGAGAGAGGAGCCTCCCTATTCCTCATCTCTCTCAAAAACAGCCCAGACTAGGGGACAGCCACTCAACACCACATTTTCTAGAAAACCTAAAGCCCTTCTAAGCAATATAAATGTGGGGAGGACAAGTCTGCGGTACCAGGAAAAGCATGGGACTAACAGGAGGCCCAAAGGAACTGTGTGACATTGTAAAGTCACTGAACCTCTCTGTGCTTCACCTACGCGTGGAGCAGGGATGATGAGTCCTGCCTCACTTAGCTCATAACCATGAAGGGTAAAATGACATGACATGAAGGCACAGGGAAAGGACTCACTGATTCCAACCAGGGCGGGCTGCACAGAGGAGGTGGTGTTTTAGGCGGACCTAAGTGGATGACTCAGAAATTGATGGGCAGAGAGAAGTGGACAGACTTCACCTGCGGGAAGAGCATGAGCACAGGCACAGACTTTGTCTGCAGCCAGAGAAGGTTCTGTGGCTGCAGTACTGGAGGCTGGAGCTGGGCAGAGGGTGCTGGGCTCGAGAAGATGGGCCGGGCCCACAGTGGGTGTGAGGAGTTTAGACCTGGCTCCTTGGGCCTTGGGGAGCCACGGAGGGTGTTAAGAGGAAGGGGATGGGCTCAGACCTGTTCACAGCTCCCCCAGCTGCAGGGTGGAGGATGGACGGTGAGGGGAGACCTGCGGCAGGGAGCTGGGCAGGGGACACAGAGAGGAAGGGCCTGGCCCCCAGGTGCCCCAGAGGAGACACCTCAGATCCAGGAGAGCGGCAGGGAGGGGACTGGGGGAGGCCTGGGGAGGCAGTAGACCAGGTGGGGAGGCCATGGACCAGGTGGGGAGGTGGCCAAAGAGCCCTGCAGAAGGTTCTGGTTTTTGCACTCAACTGTTCCTAACTGGTGGAAGCAGGATGATGGGACCCATTAGGCACCCATAAACCCCACACTCTCCTCAGAGGCTGGCGTCAGGCCCAGCCCCCACTGCTTGTTTGGAACCTGAGGTCAGTGTGTCCCGTATGTCCCCTAAACATAGGGACCATGCAGTGAGGGTACAGGGGCCAGGCCCAGTTCTGGAGCAGCGGGTACAACAGTGACGGGCCACGTCTCTCCCCTCACAGCGCGCACAGCCAGTACTCCCACTGTGGAGAGAGGAGCTGCCCAGGTGCCCTGGGAAGGGCCTCAGCCAGCTCAGGGTGTCGAGTGATGGAAGATGGTGAGAAGCCACGTGGCGAAGAACCTTGACGCTCACAAGAAGTCAGAGGTTTATGCAGGGCCATAAACAGGCACTGGGAGATGATGGTGGACGCAGGGGGTGGGTCAAGGCAGAGGGCAGGGTGGGCGTTCACCAGGGGCATCTGCTCCACCATCTTGAGGTTCCCGCTGCACAGGGCATTTCACAATCTGAGCATTTTGTGTCTGTGATCCCTCGAACACACCAAGCAAATTCCCGCCTCAGATCTCAGATACCGTCTTCTCTTCACCAGGGCTGCTCAAACAGCATCTCACCAGAGAGGCCACCCCATTCTCCCTAGGAGAGCCCGCTCCCCGACACCGTCACCCCGTCCTCCTACCCTGCTCATGTTCTTCACAGCGCTTACCACCATCCTCAGGCATAGACCTCAGTGTGTTATCCGTCTCTCCTCCTCTCACATCAGCTCCATGAGGGCGGAGACCTGTTGCTCACAACTAGATCCCCAGCACCCACCACTGCCCGCCACACCCCGGGCACTCAGTGGATATCTGTAGGGTGGATGGGTGGGTGGGTGGATGAGTGGATGGATGAGTGGATGGATGAGTGGATAAGTGGATGGATGGATGGATGGATGGATGGATGGGAGAATGAATCAATGAATGAATGAATATGAGGCCTTCTGACCCAAAAGCACTGTATGCTCTAACTCTACTCTGGGATGCAATGTACAGTTAGACCAGGTTCTCTCCAACTCAGCACTGTTGACCTTTGGGACTGGATAATTCTCTGTGGAGGGCTATCCTGTGCACTGTAGAACATTTACAATATCCCTGGACAGTAACACCCACCTGAGTTGTGACAACCAAAAATATCTCTAGACATTGCCAAATGTTTTCTGCCACCAGTTAAGAACGATTGAGTTACACCTTTACTTCCAGTAAATGATTCTTACAGCCCCCTCCCCAAGTCCCTATGGAAAGTGGCCCAATCCTCAGGTGACCTCTCACCCTTTGGGAGAGCCACAACTAGAAACCGTAGGCTTTGCTGCTGCCATTTATTGTTTTATCACATATTTACATTCCAACAGGAAACCTGTCCCACATCAACCTCTGGCCCTTTGGTTTCTCGCTGGCCAGCCTGCTCCAGACCCCCAGGCACAGGCTCGAGGCCAGAGCTGGGGCTCCAGGATGTCAGACGTTCAGCAGAAGGGGCTGGTTCTCCTCGTCGGAAGTGTCGCTGGGAGGGATTTCATACACGACAAACAGGGAGGAGTACAGGCAGCCCAGGAAGGACACCAGGCTGGAGAAGTACATCACCCCGTTGGCGCTGCCCACGGCCGAGGTGAGGGGCCCCAGCACCAGGGAGACCAGAATCTGGGCCAGGAAGTACTGGCAGCTCAGCAGGGAGATGTCCATGCCCATGCCCCGCCTGGTGCCGTCCGTACTGGACCCTGCAAACTGACCCAGGAGAAGAAACACATCAGCGAGACACCGTGGCAATGGACGAGCTGACCAAGCCCCAGGTCTCCTGCAGGCCCAGGGGACCCGAGTGGCCCATGCACAGTGGCTCACATTTTCCAGGGCCAACGTGCACAGGGAGTTCAGCCAAGAGTTTAATAATATTTGTGTTCAGAAAGATGACGACGATGAAAAGAATCCATGACTAATGGGGTGGAAGGCCTGAGCTCTCTCAGGCCCGGGCGGCACAAGGCACTTTCCCTGCTCGGAGCGTCTGGTCTGTCCTCTTCCCTCTCGTCTCAGAAAAAGCACTCTGCCCGGCCCACTGGCTCCTCTGTGTTCTGGCTCATCCCCTTTCTTAACCTTTGCCACTACGATGCCTGTCACGCTCTGAAATACCCTTTCACAGTCTACACGCCTGCTCCTTTGGCCTGTTCTTTGGAGGTCCTCGTGGCCTCCAGCTCGGACACATCACTCTCCTTCCCTCCCACCTACAGCACCAGGCTGGGGGACAGTGGTAAAAACGTGGTCTTTGAGCACGGCTGCAGGAGGGACAGTGGGAGGAGGTGGTGTGGGTCCCCTCTCTGCTCTCCAGAGCAGGCCACCCTGACCCAACGGCCACCAAGGCAGCAGACTGACGCCACCCCCACAAACCGCCTCCCGTGCACCGGCGGGGGGCTGGCACGGCCAAGCCCTGCATCCGGACACAGATGTAGTCACCTCTGGGATGCCCCTTCCTAGAGCAGGCTGTGTCCTCGCGGGCGCCTGCAAGGTGCCCTGAATGTGCATTGCGTGTGTCCCGGGAAACCTGTGGCTCCACTGGGGCTACAGACAGCTGGCACGGCCTGCAGGGGTGCCCCTGTGGCGAGGAGGTCACAGGAAGGCCCCGAACCAACAACCCAAGGGAGACTGAGAGGAATGTCAGTGTCTAGAAGACTCTACAGGCAACAGAGGCCCAAGCCTTCCAGTCAGCTCTGACCAAACCTGATTAGAGTGGCTCAAGGCCCTGGGTGTCCCCTCCCATGGGGCAGGGCAGGCCTTCGCCAAGAACCTGCACATTGTTTACTCGAGCAAAGGGGGCTCCGGGGCTGCAGGGAACCCACAAGGGAGACGGTGGCCACGGAGGCCGGGGCAGCACCAGTGAGCAGGGACGGTGCACCCATGCCCCTGGTCCCTTGGGTGCTGCTGGCACAGCAGTGCCGGCTGAGGCTCAGGGCACGCAGAGCTCACGCGCACGTGGTCTCAGCCTCTGCCCCGCCCTGGGGGACGTACAGTCCTTGAGCGCGCCGCCCATCTGTGTGGCCAGGAGTCTGTCGCTGGCAGAGAGAAGGGGCCGGAGGGGGCTGCCACAGCACCCCCCAAGAAGCCTGGTCTAGGCTCGCTGCAGCGCCTGGGGCTCCAGGCTGATCTGACTTTTCTTAAAAAGTATTGTGCTCAGGGCCGCCCCCAGCTGAGCTCATCAGAGACTCCACACTCCTTAAAACAACTTGGGAGGCCTTCCGGGGCCAGGCCTGGGGGAGGCGATGGAGGCCCCGACTTAAAGGGGGTGAGAAACTCAGTTATCAAGGTGGCCTTTTAATGCAGGATTTTAAAATCCCAAAGTTACTGCAAAAAGTCTACGATGCGAATGTTATTCGGCCTCTAGAAGGAAGGAAGCACTGACGCAGGCGACAGTGTGCCTGCACCTTGAAAAGGATGCTCAGTGAGAGGAGCCAGTCAGCAGAGGCCACATGTGGCAGGATTCCACTGACACGAAGTGTCCGGAATAGGCAAATCCACACAGACGGAAAGTCAGTTTTAGTGTTGCGGGGCTGGGAGATGGGTGGACTGGAGGGGTGATGGCTAATGGCTATGGGGTTTCCTTTTGGGATAACGAGAATGTTCTAAAATTGATTGTGGTGATGGTTGCACACTGTGAGTGTACTAAACACCACTGGACTGCACACTTGAAATGGGTGAACTGTATGGTATCGTATGGTGAATTATTTCTCAATAAAGCTGTTACAGGAAATCCATGCTGAACAAAAGACCAGCATTTTCTATAAAGACAGGATCTGTATTCTTGGTTTTTCCTTTGGCCTCAGGTTCCACCATGGCTTGGCACAGCAACTGTTACTTATCCTGTTTTTATTTCAAGTTCTGATATTTTTGTCCAGCGTGGATTTTTGGCATTAATTCTCATTTTTAGAAATACTGCATTAACATATTATTGATCTTGATCGCTGAGATTTTTGTGCCCAAGGTGAGTGCCTCACTCGCCTCGCCAAGGCCCCAGGCCAACAGGTGACCGGAAGCCTGACAGAGAGGGACGCGAGGGGGTGGGCCTCCCTCCCACCGCCCAATTCCCCACAGGAACGGGGCAGCGATGCGGGCTGCTACCTGCTCCGGTTCGTGCTCTGCTGTCGCCGTCTTGATATTCTTAATGTTTGCACGGGGCCCCAAGTTTTCCTTCCGCACCAGCTGGCGACTGCATCCCAGCCCCAGGGACGTTGCTCAGGAGGAGTTCCCCCCACAGAAGCCGGGTGGGTGGAAGCAAGAGAAGCGGGAGCCCTTACCTTTTTGCTCTGGTAGTAGTCGCAGAGCAGGGAGTAGGGCAGGGTGCACAGAGTGGAGAATAAGATGCCGTAGGTTATGCAGAGCGACAGGACCACGTAGAGGTTCCTGGACAGGGTGGCGAGCCCGGTCCCCAGGCCGAAGGCGAGATAGGCGATGAAGTACAGCGTGCGGATGCTGAGGTATTCTTCCAGCTTCTCGAGGATAGCTGCAGGCCAGAAAGGAGGGACTCAGAGTCCCTGGGCCGCCTCCTCCCGGCTGACCCGCAGGTTGGCAGGAGTGGGAGCCGGCTTGGCAGGCAGCTTGACCCAGACTGAAGACCTGCGTGGGCAGCCCAGGGAGCTCAGGGACCCCCAACGGCTCTGGGGGGCCCAAGACAGGGTGGTCCAAATGGACCAGGACCCGGGGTGGCCCCACTCACGCTGGTTCCGGCCAGGCCCCCAGGCACTGCTGCAAGTGAAGGGGTCTTTGGGTTGAAATGCCAAGGAGGCTCGGCAATTTAGAGTTTCAAGCTAAACCCTTGTGTCCCTGTGCAGATCACAGCGTGCTGTCTCCTTCATAAAACAAGGACACCAACATGCCCACCCAGAGGACCCTGGGAGGGCATGGCAGCGGGGACCACACACGACACTGCTTCCCAGAATCAAATAACGGGGGCGGGGAGGGGGGAGTGCTGCTTCCCTCCGGGGGAACCACAAACTCCAGTTGCCTGCCCACAGGCTTGCAAGTGAGAGCCAAGAAAGTCTCTCTTCCCTCGGTCTCTCCCACCTCCCCACCCCCACCCCGTACATGATTATGGAATCAGGTACGTGGGGCTGGAACTCGCCAAGAGAGGGGAAAATGAAATAAAACAGGGCTCAGCTAACTGCAGCTCTCTAGACGAGTCCGGCCAGCAGCGTGCTTTTGGACTGCCCTGGAGCTAAGAATGGCTTTCATATTTTTAAATGGTTAAAAAAATCAAAAGAAGATTAATATTTTGTGACGTGAATATTATACGAAATTCAAATCCCCATGAACATAAATGAAACTTTACTGGAACTTAGCCACGCACATGGGTTTACGGCTTATCTGTGGCAGCTTCCGAGCCACAAGGGCAGCGCTGAGTCCTTCCAGAAGAGACCGTGTGGCTGCAAGTGTCTACTCTGGCCTTGTACAGACACCGTGGGCGGGCCCCTGAGATGAAACTTGCCATTGCGCCCCACCAGCCAGGTTCCCCACTGGGACGGCACCCCCATCGCCGCGTGAATTCAGCGCAGCTTCCTGTGTCCCACAGGTCACCCCGGATTCTGGCCTCGGCTCACCCACGTGCTCTCGGATCTCACTCCACCTTCCCTCCCTCTGGACCAGTTGCCATGTGAATCCATGTGGGAAGGATGCACACCCGCCTTGGGGGGGGTGCTCGTGGCGGGTCCCTGGGCCCCCACTTTGCCCTCGCTTACGGGCCTGATCCTCTGCCCAGCGGCTTCCTCAGGCCTGGAGACACACCCGATCCCCACCCCAGCCCAGCACAGGGCAGTGCACCCAGCTGGCCCCTGCCAGCTTGTTGAATGACTGAAAAAAAGGCAGCACTGTCTCCCTCAAATTGGGATGTTGCGGCTGCAACTGTACAGACACAGAACTTCCCTCATTCAGCGCACCCCAGCGAGCTACCAAAGGCCACAGCATTTCCCACGAAGGCCCCAACCCCGCCCGTCGCCTGGCGGCGGGTACCTGAGTAGAAGGCGGCGCTGAAGGCATAGATGCACATCCCCCAGCAGCCCGCGGTGACGCCGCTGTTGTATTTCTGATACGCCTCCGACGCGTGAGGGGCCCGGGGGTCTCCCTGAAACACCACCTCGCCCATGAAGTCCGTGTAGAAGAGCAGCATCCCCTCAAACGAGAGCCACCCTGGAGGAGGACAGCCCGTGACCCGGGGCAGTGCTGCGCGGCCCGTCCTCCGCCGGCAGGGGGCGCGTACCCACCGCCAAAGTGACACGTGACTTCCACAGATTCCACACTTAAGAAGAAAGCACCTGCAGCTTCACCGACCGGACATAACGGTACCTCCGTTCGAATTTTGTGGGTTTCCTACCAGGCTTTCTCAAAGTAAATACAGATTCCTGTACACACGGGCTCTGTTGGTGAAGGTTGTGTATTCTGTTCTTTCTCTGAACGCTATGGAGTGAGGAATGCTAACCCCACTCCTTCTAATGACTCGTCCTGCTGCCCACTCGCTCCTCTGCAAAGAAGATGCCTGGGGGCTCCAGCCACGGGGGAAGGGGGTCTATTTAACTGGGAGAAATACATTAGGAAGCGCAAACGTTGATACAGATCTGATTCGCTCTATTCTGGATAAAGCTGTAAGGTCCATGTTAATTTCTTCTTTGGTAGAGGAAGGGGGTGGTATTTATTGGCCCTCAAACTCCAATAATTATCATGCACAACTTCCTATGCCATTTAGCATTCTTAAACAGTCCCATTTTGATGGCAGCAAGATATTTCACAATGTGGATGTACCATAATATATGTATCTCTTCTCCCATTGTTGGGCATTGTACCTTCCCCCATCCCAGTTTTTGGCCATTATAAATCATGCTGCGATAAATACCTCATAGACATATTCTTGATGAAATATCTGACTGGGTCCTTGCAAAGAACACCAAATAGGATCACTGGGATAAAGGTAATGGACACTTAAGATTCTTGCCTTCCAGAAGGTCATTCTGATTTATGTTCCACAATGTTGAGAGCCCTAGATCACTTAACTGTGAGAGTGCAGAGAGCTTTTGGTAACGAGGATCTGGGCTCTGGGAGACCCAGAAGTCTGGCCAGGGGAAGAGGTGTGCCTCTTGCCTGGAACCCCTGGTGTAATTCGGGGCTGCCCTAAAGCAGGCGTCTCCCTGGCCCCATGGAGAGAAGCCCTCCGCGGCAGCCCCCACACCGAGCCCTGCCCTTGGTGGTAGTGGGGAAGCTAAATGAATGTGAGGGCGTCCTGGGGTGTGAGGCTCTGGGGCGTCCAGGAGGCCCGTGGGGCGAGAGCCCTGGGTCAGGCAGCCCGTCCCCATCATGCAGTGCCACCCAAGCAGGGACACGGACACACGGGAGGCTTGGCCAAGACTCACCCAGGAAGTGGTTGACGCAGAGGTTGCGGAGCGCCTTGGGCATGTTGCAGATGGTGAAGCAGAGGTGCCTCATGGACAGAGGCTGCGCCGACGGCTCGCTGGAGCCCGTCAGCTCGCTCTCGTACTTCACGCCGTTCAGCAAGATATTCGCCACCTGTAAAGGAAGCCCCCCAAAGCCTGTTGTCAGAGCACCAAACTCAGCCCTGGACACAGACACAGACACCGTGAAGGTTTGTCTTCTTGGACGGTGTTCACCGAGCACCGAGCACCACCCCAAACGAAAGAAATGACTTCAGGTTTTCTCTGCAGAGACTCAGGGCAGCTGAGAAGAGAATTTCATTTCGGGTGTGCCCGCATTTTGGATGCGAGGTGTGTGCCACAGGGAGTGAGTTAACACTTTGCCAAACATGAAATAAATTTGAAATAAAAGAAACACGGGTCAGTTCAAATCCAGACATTATGAAGTCCCTTCTCTTCCATGACAGAAGGATGTAAAGGACGTATTTCAAGGTGACTGGAGAATCTGTTCAGAATTCTCTCAGGACAGTGGGACTCCTATCTACACAGAGGTTGGGGCCGCCAGGTGAGTAGGTGCAGGGAACCGACACGCTTACCTTGGCCCTAGGCGAGGGCTCGCTGTGGGCCCAGACACCCCCACTGCCAACAGAATTGAAACTGGGACGAGTGTAAGTTAGATTTCTTTCTGGGGCTCAGGAGCACATTACATCGACAACTACGCTCACTGACTCGGTTTGCTAACTCTGCCTGGAATGAGAAGGCGTCACGCCACAGTCGCTCTGCCTGGATTGGTGGTGCAAACAGCAGCCGGGTGAACTGACCACCGCGGAGGTTAGATGCCTCGAGAGTGAAGAAGAGACGCTGCTCTGGCTCCGTGCGGAGCCTGTGCTGTTGTCAGCACCTGGATATTCCAGGTGGGAACAGAAAAAGGAAGTAAACAGCCCACGATGTTGGTTCCAAGGGCAGCCATGTCACAGAGCCTGTCACCGAGCCTGTCACCACGGCTCCGGAGAAAGACTGCTAAAATTACACCCACGTCCCCCCGTGAGTCCGGATGTGTTTATATTTAGCTGATGATTTTCACTTGCCTCAAAGAACCAATTCTCAAATTACACTGTTTCGAGAATGGAAACAGAAGAAAAGGATTAAAACAAGATTTTCAGCCATACCTAAAGAACTGTATCTAGAAGCCAGTCTGAATTTTTCAAAACAGCATAGAATGACCCAGTATTGACTGAAGGCCTGACTAACTGCCCTGGTGTCATGAAGAATGAGGATAACACCCTTGACTCGAGAAATTAGAGAAATCTCTTTCCTTTGCCAGTAACGGGATTTCCTAACTGTCCAGTGATTTTTGCTTCTTCAAACCCTTCCATATCTGAGCTCATGAGACATCCCGGATGCTGCCCTGCAAGGACGCATGCACCTTTCAGCCTCCTTCCTCGAGTGGGACAACAGTCACACTAGGAGAGGATGGAAATCGCATCAAGATGAACCAGAGAAAAGCAAAGGAGATGCCCAGTCATGCTAAAAAATTTAACAGTGAAGAGAAAATGAAATGTCTCCAGTTCATCTCCACTAAATCAGGGGTCTTCCCCGGCACGGAGAGGGGGCGCCTGACTGAGGGCCCGGCCGTCGGGGGGCCCGTGTGGGTCAGGACGGGTGGGCCATGCCGGGGGTTACTTCACGGGGAGACACAGCCCAGGCAGGCGTGTCCCCGGGGCTGCGCCTCTAGGTCGCCAGCCTTCAGAACGGCCTCGCGGGGGGCCCGTGCGGGTTGACAGGGTTTTGTAGGAGTCCTGCTGGAGAAACTGCAGGTTCCTACGGAAATTCTCTCTCATCTTATAACTGTCCTCAGAGGCAGGCCACGGAACTCTTACGTCTACTCTAAATGAGACCTTTCCTTTATTCAAACTACCTCTTCAAGATCACGAACGCGGAAAGCTGCTAAAATCTCAAATACCAGTTCGTGGCCTTTCAGCCAGTCCGATGTACACCACATTCAACACAAACAGCCTTCTGGAAGGGTCTTTGCCTTCACAGAACATGTCACTGCCCTTTAGAATCCAGAGTTTTGACAGCTTCTGGGATGGTTAGCTAGGGGCACACACTCGGGGGGAGGGGGGCGGGTCCCAGAAGTGTCTGCCAGGGTTTACGTTTTGTTTCATCTTTCAGGAAGACTTAGATTGTTGGCACCAGGTTCATGGCCAAAATGGGCTGTGGACATTGCAGGAGAATATTAGAAATGACAGAAATGTACATGATGTTTGTAACAATTGTAACAAACTCACTACAGGAATGTTCCGGCCTGAATTACCTTTGGGTAAACATAACAGGGCTTTAAAGATCCGTCCCTTTAACTGCGGCCAGTGCGTTAAACCAGCGATTGGTACCTAACAGATGCCCTGGACTCGCCCACCTGTGGGCTCACGTGGGGCCCAGAAGGTGTTGACGGGCATGAAGGTGAGGCTTGTCTATCTAGATCCAAGCACTTTCTGATAACTCCGGGATGGGCCGGAAATTTCCCTCCAGACCGACGTCCCTCTTTGTCATCTAATTGACAAGGGGGCACAATGCATGGTGACCTCTGACCCTTGGCTCCCGCGACATTTGCTTTTACCTGTTGACTGAAGGTCACGTTCCTTCTCCTGCTGGTTTCGGGACCGCCTCCTCCGGCCGCATCCGGGATGGCCAAGGTCTGGGGTCTCTTCAGGATCCCGGACGCCCGCGGCTTGGAGGTGTCCAGGGAGCCCACCCTGAGGACATCTCCATCGGGGCCGGCAGCCAGGGCCACTTCCCGCCTCTCCCCGAGGCTGCGGTCCTGTCGGTAGAAGCTGTCGGGGGCCCGGGGGAAGCTGACGCTGATGGCCTGCCTCGGGACGCTGCCCGGGATGGCCAAGTAGTTGTCGTGGCCGCCCGTGAAGCAGTCGATGAGGACACTGTCTATGTTGGAGGTGGCAAAGGACGAGGCGAACTCATTGATCCCCGTCAGGGAGCTGTCCCTGCTGATGAAGCTGCCGTACTTGGGTGTGAGTGGGCTGAGCGGGGAGATGGGGCTGGAGAAGCTGGCGTACAGGCTGGTGGCCGTGTGGCAGGGCAGGGTCTGGCCGGCACCCTCCTCGCACAGGACGGGCGGGGAAGGAGGCAGCGGGAGGCTGGGGCTCTTCATGGCCGTCCTCTTCTCGCCCGGGGGCCGCAGGGGTCTCTCGGGGATGCTGACCAGGGTCAGGACGGTGGTGATGCTCAGGGTGACCGCGGTGAAGATGTAAATGACCCGCAGCTGCCCGCCCAGGGCTCGCCCGAAGCTCGTTTTATCCCAGTGGATGCCCCCGACCACATATCCGAACCCTCCTCCGAGGCCTGGGGGAGAAGCAGGGTTGAGATTCCCTCCACAGGCCGGAAGAAAGCCCTGAAGGAGAGTGGTCCCGTTTCTTACTCAAGTTGCTAAATCTACTCCGAGGACCCAGATGTACTATCTGTCTCACCTAATCCCCAACAAAAATGAGAAGGAGAATGGGATTCCCAGGGGGATTCCCTGGGGGACCCCTCTCCTGCCCCTGAGGGCCGCCTGCCAGGCCTGGCTTCAGAGCAAGTAGCATGCTGACCACCTGCCCACAGTTCGTTCTTACACACAGCCTGTCAGGAATATGGAAAGTGAACGTCTACACGGCGAAACAACTCCCCTTGGAGCTCCACCCCCCCCAGCTTCGGGTCTCATCTCCCACACACGGGCCACCGAGTGTGCATGCGGGGAGTCACGAGGCTGCCCAGTGTTGCTCGCCTGATGACATCATCCTTGAGCACAACCATCATTAGGAGAGTCACCTCTCATGGTGACCAAGGCTGGCCCCGCCCTGGTGGCCAGCTCTCTGGGTGAGCGTGACATTGGAAAACAATAGGCTGCAATGGCCGATTGGTTCACGTACCACAACGTAAAAATGTGGGCCATGCCACATCGCACCTGGGCAGCAGCAAGGACACACTTACCTCCCCAAAGCGCTGTTTCCTCTAGCCCAGCTTTGTGCTTCCGGTGGCAAGAGCAAGGCCAGGCTGTGATGTCTCCCCCCGCCCAGCGCCCGGGGGCACACCCAGCCCCCTTCGCTGCCAGTCATGGACCTGGTGTGTCATTTTATTCCGAGTTCAGCTCTATTTTGACCAGTCTGCTGGTTGGGAGGCAGGTTCTCTCTGTTTACTCCTGGTGGTGAAGAGGAACCCGCATCCAACCAGCAGCTGCCTGTGGCTGCCCTCCGCTCCGGGGAGAACCAGCCACACTGGGGGTTTGCCTTTTACACAGTAACTTCTGTGGAAAGGCCTGGGCTTCAGGCACATTCAGCTCAACCTTCTACGTGTCCCTAAGGTGTGGCACGACCCTCAATCCATTTAGTGGTGTTACTGTAGAACTTCCTCATTTGTCCCAGACTCTCCTTACGTAGAACTTCCTCATTTGTCCCAGACTCTCCTTACGGGGCTTTTGATTCACGTCCCCCACTCCTTTTGTTATTCTTAACTTCCCACATCCATGGTTCTAATTAACTGCTCCCCACCCCTTTTGAAGACACAACTGCTGTTTTGTGACCCTTAAGTAAGGTCAGATTTGAGATGAACCTTATTAATCATTTTTCTTAAATGATCGAAGTGATATATTCTCACAGGAAAGAAACCATACATCAACTCAACAGCAAAAAAACAACCTAATTCAAAAGGACTTGCATAGACGTTTCTCCAAAGAAGATTTATGAATCTCCGATAAGCACATGAAAAGATGCTCAACATCACTAGGCATAGGGGAAATGCAAATCAAAACTACAATGAGGTACGACCTCACACCCATCAGGATGACTAGTATCAAAAAACCAGAAAACAAGTCTTGAGAAATTGGAACCCTTGTGCACTGTTGGTGGGAATATAAAAATGATATAGCCACTGTGGAAAACAGTATGGAGGTTCCCCAAAAAATTAAAAATAGAATTACCACATAGTCCAGCAATTCCACTTCTCGGTATATACCCAAAATAACTGAAAGCAGGGTCTCAAAGACGTGTTTGCACATGTTCACAGCAGCGTTATTCACAATAGCAAAAATGTGGAAGCAACACAAGTGTCCATCCACAGGTGAATAGATAAACAAAATGTAGTATAAACATAGAATCGAATATTATTATTCAGCCTCAAAAATGAAGCAAATTCTGACACATGCTACAACATGGATGAACCTTGTGATCATTATGCTAAATGAAATAAGCCAGTCACAAAAAGACAAAACTGTATGATTCCACTCATATAAGATACTTAGAATAGTCAAACCATAGGGACAGAAAGTAGAATGGTGGGCGCCCAGGGCTGGGGGGAGGGGAGAAGGGGGAGTTATTATTTAATGGTTATAGAGTTTCAGTTTTACAAGATGAAAAGAGTTATGGGGATGGATGGTGGTGATGGCTGCACAACAATGTGCATGTACTTAATACTACTGAACTCTACACTTAAAAATGGCTAAGATGGTAAATTTTGTGTATGTGTATTTTAACACAATAAAAAAATAGAAACAATACAAAATAGAAACAGAAGAGTATAAGGTAAAAAACTAAGTCCTTCCTCCTACCCTCCAAACCCCAGCACTGGCCTGGCTGAGACCAGGCAGAAGTTCCCTGGGCCCACATCCACTTATGAGTGTGAATACACAGAGATGAACAATGGCATTTTCTAGTAGAAGCAACTGAGGCTTGGAGAGGCCCAAAGTCCCATAATTGTCAGGAGTAAAAGCCCACCGCGGATTCAGGCTTTCAGATCCCAGAGCCCGTGCCCTTACCCGCTGGGTCACCCAGCCTCTTCATACAGGTCCAGCATGTGTCTTGTTACGTCTTTCCCTCGGTTTTTAGAAATCTTTTCCATTGTTATTTTAAATGGGATTGTTTTCTTCCATTTTATTTTGTTACAAGCTGTGTTTTATGTAGGAATGCTAGAAGTGTTTTGATATAAATACTTTGATAACCAAACACCATACTGAATTCTCTTACTGTTTTGCAGTTGATTCTTCTGAAGTTTTCACACTTATAGTCACAGAGGCCATTGGTGACAATGCTCACCCTGCACACATCTGGTTTATTTTGACCGTCTAATTGCACAGGCTCCGTGGGGCTCCTGCTTCATTCCTGACTTTGACAGAACGTTTCTCATGTTTGGCATTAAGCACAACATAGGTTTGTGTGTGTGTATAGTAGTGTGCATGTGTATACATACACATATGCACAGTTGATTCTTATTATTTGCGGATTCCATATTTGCGAATTTACCTACTCACTAAAATTGATTTGTAACAGTCATTCACAGATACGTGCAGAGCAGCAAAAATTTTGAGTTGCCTGACACACACGGTCCCAGCTGAGGTTTTTCAAGGTGATGTTCTGCCTTCTGGTTTCAACTCTCATACTGTAAACAACCATCCTTTTTGTAGTCTATATGGCATCATATTTTTGCATTTTTGTGCTTTTTTTGGTGACATTGCTGTTTAAAATGGCCCCCAAGTGTAGTGCCAACGTACTGCTGTCTAGTGTTCCTAAGTGTGCCTGATGTGCCTTATGGAGAAAATACATATGGTGGATAAGCTTTGTTCAGCCCTGAGTTATAGTGCTGTTGGCTGTGAGTTCAATGCTAATGGATCAATGATATATATTAAATAAGGTGTCTTTAAACAGAAACATGTAAGACGAGGTTATGTATTGATCAGTTGATGAAAATGTTGTGACCAGAGGTTTGCAGGATCCTAACCCTGTATTTCTCCTTGGGGCAATGATTCTGTATTGGCTAATTCAGGGTTTGTGGCAACTCTGTAGAACAAAACTACATGAATAACGAGAATCAACTATATATAACACTATACATATATAGTTATATACACGTATATATAGTTGTATATGTAGTTATATACACATATATACACAGTCACGGGCCACATAAGGACGTTTCAGTCAATGATGGACCCCATATACAGTGGTGGCCCCATAAGATTAGTACCATAGAGCCTAGGTGTGTTGTAGGCTATAACATCTAGGTTTTTCTAAGTACTGTAGGGGAGGAAGACATTTTCCTCTACCCTTCTAGGTTCTTCTGGCTGGTCTAAGAATTAAATTGACATGAGACAGATTAACAGGAGAAAAACAAACAAAAGTTTAATAACATGTATACATGGGAGAAATCCAGGAGAAGTGAGTAACTCACCAAATCCTCAGCTAAAAAGAAAAGAAGACGTTGGGAGTGAGGAGAGTCAAGGACTTCAAAGCAAAGGAAGGCAATTCACAGGTAGGTGAAAAGGAGCAAGCATTTGGAAAACAGGTGTTTGGCCACACAGCAACAAAAGAACACAGAGGGGAGCCCAACCAACAGGCTTTTCTAGGTTCCTCCCTGTCCACCACCTAGCTCATGTTATGCTAAGGTGATAGCTCGCTTCCTGAGACAGGTTTTTTCATCTGAATTCTTTTAGGCAGTTAAGGGGGAGGTAACAAGAAAAACTTTCGGAGTCTTTTGTTTCTTAAAAATAATCAGCCTACACAAGGGGTGAAGGGAGTCATATATGTGGTGATGGACAAACAAAAATGTACAACCCAAAATTTCACAATGTTAGAAACCATTAAAACATCAATAAAAAAAAAAAAATAATCAGCCTACTACAAAGCTATAGTAACCAAAACAGCATGGTACTGGCACAAAAACAGACACACAGATCAATGGAATAGAATCGA